GGGGGGGGATAAAGGGGCACAATAATTTGCAATGACAATATAAGTTGGTCATGGGGATGGTAGTACAGCACAGAGAATACAGTTAATGATTCTATAACATCTTACTACATTGATAAATAGTGACCACACTAGAAGGGCTAAGAATTTAATAATATGGGTAACTGTTGAACCACTGTGTGTAGCTGAAACCAACATAAAACTGTCTATGAAAGACACTTTAGTCAAAAATAATAATAATAAATTAAGGGTATCTGGCCATATCTGGACATACAGGTATGTGTGTGGCAGTCACAGACCCTGGTAGACCAACTCCCCTATGTAAATAGCTATGTGACCTTAGGCAAATTACTTAACTCTATCCTTGTTTAAAAAAATAATCTACTAGTAACTAAGGGATTGTTGTGAAGATTAAATGAGTTAATACCATAAATATATAAGTATTGTAAAATATGTAAAGCACTTAGAACAGTGTATAGAGTAAGTACTATGTGTGTTTGCCATTGTTACTGCCGCAGTCTCCCCTTTAGGCAGGGGGGGTACGTTCCAAGACCCCCGTGGATGCCCAAAACCATGGACAGTACTGAGCCCTATATACACTATACCTTTTCTTATACTAATATGCCTATGATAAAGTTTCATTTATAAAGTGGGCACAGCAGAGATTTACAATGACTAATAGTAAAATAGAACAATTGTAACAATAGACTGTAATAAAAGTTATGTGAACAGGATTTCTCTCTCTCTCAAAACAACTTATGATACTGTACTTACCCCTTATGATGACATCACGTGATAAAATGCCTGTATGATGAGATGAAGAGAGGTGAATGACGTAGGCACTGTGATGTAGCATCAGGCTACCACCGACCTTCTAACGACATCAGGAGGACCGTCAGCTTCCAGAGTGTGGGTCCAGAAACGGTGGAAAGCGAACCTGCAGACAAGGGGAGGCTATACTATATTTACCTTGTTCTTTTCTTGAATGGCCATATAGTATTCCAGCATTTGGACAAGCCATAATTTATTGAACCCAGTCCCCTGCTGAGAGACACATAGGTGCTTTCCTACTTTTTGCTACAGTGAGCATTTTGAACATAGGTCTTTGTATAAATAGGCAAACATTACTCTAGGATAGTTTTCAAGGCATGAAATTGCTGCATCAAAGGTCATACTCATTTTTCATGAAAGATGTTGCCAAATTTCCCTCCAAAAGGCTTCTCTAATTTATATCCCTGCCAACCGCTTGTATCTGTCTTGTCTCCAGGCATCTTCACTGGCAGCCGGGATCTTTGGCATCCTCATTTCTGCACTTGCCTTCCCTAAATGAAACCTCAGTCAAAACCACCAATAATTCATTTGTTTAAGTCCCTGGGACACCTAATCCCTTTGTCTTTTCTAAAAGGAATGAAATGTTTTCGGTGCTCACAGGCCTTCAGTTGCCTGGACCCGGCCCTGGGATGACTTTGAAAGACACAAATAAAATACACTTCTGATCCCTAACACTCTCCAGGGAGGTTCGAAGGGGCCCACGTGAGGCCCAGCGCTGCTCTCTATTACATGCAAAAAGATTTTCAATAGCAGCTGGTGTTTTCCTGGGTGGAGATCAGAGCCAGCGTTTGTATATAAATATTATCCCAGGGCTGGAGGGAGAACAGGGCTAGAAGCAGAGGCTGCCACCTCCCAGTTGTCTTGTTAATGGGGTGGGGGTGCAGGAGGGAGCACCCTCATCGTTTCCCTGAGCTCCCAGGAGAAAGGGGAAGCACCCCAGGCCCACCCCATCAGGGCAGCTGGTAATGAAACATGGGCGGAAGCTGGTGCAGAGCTTGGCTGCAAATCCATGCCAGGCAGAGAAGTAAGGCAAAGAGGCGCACTCCATCCGCGGGGCCCACACTACAACTCTGTTGCCTGCCCTGCATGCCTGGCCGAGTGACCACCTGCAGCCACCTGCCTCCTCAGGCCACAGCTCCTGCCACATAAAGACAAGATGTCCCCTCTGGTCTCATCTCCAAGTTTGTGCGGCACACAGTGACTTCTACCTTTGTTCAAGGACCTCTCAGAACCAAGGAGAGCCATGAAGGGGCTGGAGGGCTCTGGCCGCAGAGGGGCCTCCTGGAGCCCTTAGGCAGGAATGTCAATAATTCCGAAGGCTATCCCTGCTAAATTCTGCAAGCCCCAAAGCCATTCATCTTCCAAACTTGTTTTTCAGGCTATTTTATGGCTCAAAACCATTCACCTTTGTTCTTCCAATGATCTCCTTGCGGCCCACCATTCCCAGGAACCCAGGTCAGGTCAGGAGGGGGAGAAGGCAGACAAGTCTCTGGAACAGAGGATTCCATGGATCAGAGTGAATTCCAGGGATGAGACCCGGGGACCCTGGCTCAAGTCCAGACCGGGAGGAAATAACTCAGATGATCATCTCAGGCCCTTGGAAGGGAGTTAAGCCTCCCTTTCCTCCTCAGCTCACATGGGGAGGGCCACACAAAGGAAAGAAGGTCCAGAGACGCAGGGTCTCCCTAGGGTATAACTAGAAGCAGCAGGTAGGACAGGAAAGAGACTTAAGCTCACTGTACCTCAGTTTCCTTTTCTCTGAGAGCCTGGGACCAGACACCCAACCCCCTGTATTACATTAAATTCCCACAGCAGACATTTGCAGAGTGTGGGCCCTGTGTTCCACACACCACGGACACGGCAGTGAACAGTGCCACGGAGCTGAAGCCCCAGGGCCCTTGCTTGCGGGCAGCCTCTTCCAAGGCCCGGGAAGGGTCTGGAAAGACCCCCTGGGTTACTCACGGCCAGGGTTTCTCTGAGCTTTGCCAAGGTCAAGTCCTTACCACGGTGAGAAGGCACACTCTCTCTCCCACTCCAGCTGCCCGTCGGCCACGCCTGCCCTCCCACAGTGTGACGTGGCCTCAGCCCCATGCAGACCTCAGGGCAGACCCACACAGGAGTCCAGGTGGTGGGACACTGAGCTGGGGTCTCGCGGGATACATTCAAGTGGTGCATAGTCACCTCCATGCACGTCGGCTTGCTGCCAGCCTTCCAGGGTGGGCATAGCTCCCACGCCTGTACCCAAGTGTCCCCCACCCAATTTTTGACGCCACAACAGCAGGTGAATCAGTCCATGAACATGTCCTACAGTGCCCAACACTGAAGTGTGTGGTAGCAAAGAAAAAGCTTTAAAATGTGCACAGTCACCCCACTTCCCATGTCTTGTGTCTTTGGCTGAAGATGGTGTTGAAGGTGATGACTTCTGCCATTTTGGGCAGCTACTCAGTTTTCCTGGGTCTCTCCCATGTATATGGGAGATACATAGGATATTAAGCTTTTTTCTTAATTAATAAGCTGATTTCCTCCTGTTAAATTTAAAAAAATGTTAACAGAGGGATAAGGGTGGGGAAAAAGAAAAGGGGCATTACGATTAGCATTATAGTGTAGGGGGGGCACGGGGAGAGCTGTGCAACACAGAGAAGACAAGTAGTGATTCTACAGCATCTTACTACGCTGATGGACAGTGACTGTGATGGGGTATGTGGGGGGGACTTGGTGAAGGAGGGAGTCTAGTAAACATAGTGTTCTTCATGTAATTGTATGTTAATGATACAAAAAAAATGTTAACAAATTAAAATTTTAAAATGTAGGGCATGAGATGCAGCCTGTGAGAAATGCTTCCACTTATTAGACCTGTAAAATTGTAAGTGAAAGTTTCAGTTTCCTAGTCAGAAGGGAAGGGCTCTTCTGTCAGAAATACACTGGATGCATGCAATTATAATGTGCCACAGTTTCTCTTTTCATTTTTGATGGAATCATACAAAATAGACTTTAACCAAACTTTCCCTATTTCTGGGATATGAACATGTAGTTAGACTACAAATAGTATGTGTGTCTATGTGAATTGGCTCATTTTCCACATCTAAAATGTCACTAACAAAAAACAAATTCTGATCAACCATGCTAGAGAAAAGGCTGAATTATCTTTTATGCTCTTACAGAAAATTAACTTCAAAAATCATTATCATATGAAGAAGTGATCCCAGAGTATGAAGCCAGAAAATATAAGAATTAAAAGGCATGATAGAGGTGTGTCAGGCAGTTAATAAAAATGTTCTGTCATTCTTCTGGAATTTTTAGTGTTTGAGGAATTTGTTGGCTTTTAAAATACGTAAGTTGTGTGAGCTCTTTTCTCACGCCAAATAAGTGTTCACTTAAAATTCTCAATATTGGATTCATAATTTTGCATTATTTCTTTTAAAGACAGCTCTCAAATTGCACAAGCTTCGGAACCCCATAAAAGCCTGATCCCCCCCTACAGCCACCATCTCCTAAGCAATTATGATGTGCCAGGAGCTCTGATAAATCCCTTTACGTGCATTACCTAATTCAATTCTCAGTCAACCCACTGAGGTAAACTAAGGTTTACAGCATTTATTCTACACAATACAGCGCATTCTGCAGAGTTGCAGCAAGGAGTCAAAAACACATAAAACCGGGAGCAGGGCCCACACCCAGAAAAGGAACTGTTATTACAACTCGCTGGGATGCCTCCCAGAGCCCAGGTCTCCTCATAATTAAAGTTGAATGGTAAAAAGAGATTTAAGTATTTTGTACATTAACAGATGACATCAGTAAAGCTACACAGAAGGCTGGTAACCGTGGCTGCCTCTGTAGACGGAACCTGGGGCTAGGAGAACCCCACCCCTTGTACCTTCACATTTTTAAACGAGTTGGTGCATGAAGAGTTCTTGTCCCTGTGCCTGGCACGTGGTAAGTGGTCATAAATGTTAGCCATTGCTATTATTTATTGTTATGGTCAGTTACTTTTAAAAATTACTTAAATAATTTTTAATAAATTAGGTGGGCCCTGATGTCAAAAGTCCCTACCGGCTGGATCTTGTGTTTGTTTTAAATAACTGCTCCTAGCATTTACCTAGTGCCAGGGGCTATAAATGCACTATTATGTTGAGTAGTCTCTGAATCCCTATGAGGTAAGTACTATTCTCATCTCCTCTTTGCAAATATGGAAATGGAGGCACAGAGAGGTTAAACAACATACCCGAGGTCACACAGTCAATGTGGCAGGGGCTAGGATGAACACCCAGACTGGTGACTCTAAAGGCCAGACACAGAACTGTCTCACTGGACCCTCCTCGTATGCCACGTGGGTGCCCCAGCATTTTTTTACCCTTGACGTGTATGCATCTCCAATGCGCTTCAGGTGTAGCAGGACGGTCACCCAGAGGGACCACAGGGAAATGCTGTCATTGCAGATGTGAAGGCAGCAGGAGAGCCACACGGGGCTTATTAACCAGCTAGAAATTAAGAGGGAAGGGAGGCAAGGAGGGAAAAGGAGGGAAAGAGGGGAGTGAGCATGTACTCTGTGTCAGACAATGGACTCAGCCATTTCCCACCTCTGAGGGCGCGTGTTAACCTGATGCCTCCTTCTTAGCTGGGCAGACTGGCTGGAAGAGTTCACGGGGCCCCTGGGTGGTGGGGCCTGGGGCTCTGCTCTCTAAGAGCAAAGGGCATCGCCCAGCCTGCCCCCCTTCTCTGCGCCCCCAAGACTTCCCTTGGCTCGTGCGGCCTAAAGTAAGTATTTCTATACAGCACAGCTCAACTCAGCAGGCCTTGGCGGCCTCTATCCTGCTGGGTCTACCGCCAAAGCAGAGACCCTTCCCCCCAGGAAGTGAGAGTGGAAAAGCCCGTAAGATCTGCTGCTCATAAGGCCATGGATCCAGGAGCCTAGAGGCATCTTTCAGGGACAAATCTGCTTTGAAATCTCTGCTCGGTTCAGGAGCACCTTGGCCTCTACGTGACCTCTAAGAGGAACCCTGACCTTCACCTGCCTTGCATGTAGGAATGAGGTGACCCACATAGTGTTTTGGACTGCTGAGGGCTTCTGGCAGCAGCCACCTAATAAAGGTCTTGTCATATCGTAGCTGTGTGACCTTGAGCAAGTCACTTGACCTCTGTGGTTTTAACTTATCTGTAAAATGAAGATTACAAATCAATAAATATCTTTATTCAATAGAGGATGATCCTCCCACCCACCCTAGATTCCTGGTGCCTTTAAGAAAGGGAATAGTCCTATTTATCTTGGCATTTCCTTCAAGGTGCCTTCACGACAGGGTGCCTGACTCCAGAAAAGGGGCTCAGCACAGATTTGCTAATTTAAGGCAGACTTGGGTAGTGCAAAAGAGTATGTGTCATGGGCCATCCAGACCTGGATTCAAATCCTGCCTCTGCCACTGAACCTCTCACCAGGCACCCTTTCGCAGCTTGGTCCTAACTGTACCTCCACAGCTCCCAGGTTGCAAAACTCTAGAGGGAGCCATTCTCACCATGGGTTCATGGAACAAGACATAGGAGGCCTATTTCAAAGGGAGGATGTAAGGGTTCTAGGCCATGGTGGGTATGAAGTGGGCTAGCACAGGCTGCACAGCGTGCGTGCAGACAGACACAGTCTAGAAAACACATAGAGTAAAAGAAGATGCTAACCGAATGTCATGGCAGTCTAGGTTCACAACACACTATTTGAAAGCTTAAAGAATGTTGCTAATATGCAAAGACCATACCACAAATTTGTATTTTCAGGGACTTACTTCTTTCCTGGTTGTTCCAGGAAAGATTTTATAAGCCTTGTGGCTTTTTTTTTTCCATTGCGAATGTGGAAATGGTTCCATTAGCAAAGATATATGAATTTTTAACAACTCCCCCCAAAATGGTCTATTCATATAAATGAAGCTTCATCTTCATTTTATATTGATAAGCTGCAGAGCTGACATAAACAGTGTTTTTTTTTTCTTTTAAAACTGTTTTGTCATTCTAAGAACTCGATGCTGTTTGCAAAATGCCCCTTTAAAGGCCTCAGGTCTTTCTACTGTGATAGAAAACGTGTACAGTGGACAACACTGCTTGGACTCAGATGTTTCTAGCAGCACTGCTCTTCTGTGGCAGGGATTAAGTGGCCTCTTCGAATCACGAAGATTTAAAGGAGGAACTTCTGCCACCATCTCCATCTCGGGCCAACAAGGCCAAAAACTCACCTTCTGCCTCGTAAGTTTTTAGGATCCATGTTCTGGTTTTCTCTGCCACCTATCCTGCCCTCCTTTAGAAGTGGTTTGCGTGCGTGCGGCTAGTCCTGCTGGACCATCCGTATCCAGCCTGTGTTGGCACACATGGGTTTCCTTGGGAGCATCCCTCTGTATCAGAAAGAAATGCGGTCTGGATGAGATGAAGCAGGAAAGAAACTTTGGGTTGGTGGAGGAGGAAGCTAGCAGGAGTCAGAATACTAACACTGTTCATCTTGTCCCTTGAAACTGACTTCTGGACCCCTGTAAGTCTGGGGAGAGGAAATCCCGGGGCAAAATACCTCTAAAAACCGGCATCAGTCAAAGGGAGAAATAAAGTTTAAAACCCATTTATTGCTTACAAACTGCAGGGCCGTTTCTTTCTCCTCTGCTCTGGAAGCAAGCAAGCCAGCAAGCAAGCCAGCCCCTCCCCTTAGCCTCTCAGGTTCAGACACGCCCTCGGTTGCCCAGGTAATTACCCACTGAGGTGAGATGAACTTCTCTCCACCCCTGAGGATACGCAAATGCACCAAAGCCAGGAGAGATACTCTGGAAAGGTTATGATTTTACCCACACCCCTGAGACTCAGATTCCCTACCTGTGAAATGGGGCTGAAACCTCTTCTCCCGTCCACCTACCTCAGGAGGATGATGGATCCTTCCCTCCCACCCTCCTGAGTGCAGAGAGTGGCTGCCACCCGAACCACACCCCACAAATAATGATGATCCCACAGCACAGCGGTTATGAACTCAAGTGCCCAACAGGGACACAAATGAGGGGCCGTCGTGGGTCTGCGTGGCTCTCTCAGCTGCAGAGTCTTTCAGCAGCCCAAACGTCACCCTTCCAGCCTGGGCCTCTGTCCTACCACCACTGCTCAGCAGCCAGTCTTAGCCAATGACTTGCCCACAAGGGCCCCAGAGATGAAAATGGTTACACAGTGATGGTTCAGGGACTCTTATGTTCCCATTTTGAACAATAATTAGGAAGACTCTAGAGGAACACAGGGGAAACGTCTATAATACAATGCTGGGTGAAAAACATGGTCACAACAACCGCATCTATCATTACATCTGCAGACTTTGGATGGAATCAGACCTAGGTTTGAATCCCAATTCTGCCAGCTGTGACCACGTGACCTCTCAGAGTCTCAATATCTTCTTTAAAGTAATGGGGATAATAAGACCTTCCTTCTGGATTCACTGCAAGAATTTGGTGAAAAATGTGTAAAAGCCCCTGGGGAGAAAGTTCACACTATGTGCATATGTGAGTATGTGCAAGGATAAAGATGAGAATGGATTCCAGGCAGCAGGGCGGGGTCCTTTTAGAGATAAGAAGACACAGGTGTTTGTTTGACTTAAGATTGTTGCAGTGACTTAAATGAGGACTTCAGACTAGAATAATCCAATTAAATAGGATTCCTCTGGTCAACAACCCTGCCCTTCTCACTCATGCTGGGAGGTGCTGTTCCAATGAGGTCCGGTCTTGGGACAATTACATAAAAAAAAAAAAGACACAGAGCTTCTGTAGCTCCCCCACCCCCAGCCCCTGCAACTCTTCAGTCCTGTCTGTGATGTGTTCCTTAGTGACATTCCTGCACCCAACAGGGCAGAAAGTGACGAGGAAGGAAGGCTGCAGGATGAGAGGCAGATTCATAACTGGAGCCCGCAGTAATCAGCATTTTGGATGAATGCTTAGAGGTGCTCTCAGAGCTTTTTTGCCTTGGTCCCAGAACCCTTACACACCCTTTAGCAAACCACGAGGCTTTCCGTGGGGTGTCGGCCACCCTTGAAAGTGCATCTAGCCTTGGGTTCCCACTGCCTGGGTTTAGAATCTCCAGCATCTGCAGCAGGTGGGGTGTGTTCAATCGGAGGCAGATGCCTCGGGCGGCACTTGATTTGTTCCTAGACAGTTAACAATGGAAACAGGCTCAATTATTTTCATTATATGGAGTCAAGAGGGACAAGATGAGTCATGGGTCTAAGCCAGAGAAGCATGGGTGATGGTGAGAGGGAAAGAAGACACAGAGGACACCGGGTGTGCCCTCCGAGCCACGATGCCAGGGAGGGTTAGCAAGGATAGGAAGACACCAGATGACTGTTCCTGTTCTGCCGGTCCCGGTGTGTCCTATGTTACCAACTCCAAATCCCTCGGGCGGAAAGAGCTTCATCACGACCACACGTCCAACGTCGGGAGGGACGGCAGCAAGCTGGGGGCTCCTGCAGCCCCTCTCCCTTACCCAGCTGCCCCCTTCTCCTGTCCAATCATGACAGCTCACATCACTGAGAGCGTGCCACCACCAGGCACTGTGCTAAACACTTGACACACACCGTCTTATTTCACTTTCCCAGCACCCTGTGAGTTTGGGCTGTTTCTGCTCCCTCTTACAAACGAGGCAACCAGCTCAGAAAGGGTTATGTGACTCGCCCACGCTGGAAGGTGGCAGATCTGTCTGACCCCGGAGCCCAAACTCTCAATCACTACAAGCTTCCCTCTTTTCTTTACCTTTCTTTCTCCTATTTATACCAAATGCTCTCTGATACCATCTCCCTCGCCCCCAAATCATATCCTGTGTCTTCTGGGGGTTTGGGGCTACACAGGAGGCTGACCCCAGAAAAATAAGGCTCCTCAGGTGGAGGAGCTATGTTTCTGAGATTTCTCGAGGACAGGAAACTTCCCAGGCTGCCTGCAATAAATCCAAGCCTTCCTTTGTGGTTTCACCCTGGGAGCGGCACCCCGGGACGACTGGGAGGTCCTCCGGAGACTGGAGGTGACCTTGTCCGGGCATTCATGCCCCGGGCCTGTTTCCCATTTGTCAAATGGGCAGCCCGGCCTCCCTGCTGAGCTTGCTGCGGAGTATCTGGCGAACATAAGCATGTCAAACATGATTTTTTAAAGAGAATGCCAAACATTGACAGTCATCCAACTCAAGCCAAGCCCCACACACCAAATCTAAATCTGCTCCAATCTTAATTCTGGCTGCAAGGTTCACCTGCACTCCAGCCTTCTCGGCATATGGGGAAACTGCAATTATCAGAAAAAGGAAGGTGACCTGGATAATAACCCCTTTTCTCCCAACTGTAATCAGTCACTCCTCCTTCAGCTCCTCATCACCTTATGCTATGCAAGCACATACTACTAACTGCTAGCAACCACGGGCCCTAATCAGCTCTGGGTTTTTTATATTTTTTCCTCATTTAATCCCTTTAGGAGTGTCTGTGACTAGCCTCACTTTACAGATGAGAAAAATAAGGTTTCAACCGGTCGATCACAGAGACTTAAAGGTCACACCACTAGTAGGTGTCAAAGCCCAGATTGCAAATCACATCTGTCAGTCTTCCCCACACTACACAGCCTTCACTTTCTTTGTTTTAAAATGACCAGCCCAACACTCTCTGGCCACCTTCTCCACTTAGTTTTTCTCAGATTTCTTATGCTTTTTAGTTATGAATTGACTGCTGTGCCCCTCTGCCACCCTGACAAATGGTAAAGCCATTTGGACAGGGATGTTTTGGGTCATTTGCCAAGGGAGGGCCCCTCCATGCCTAGAACAATGCCTGACACATAACAGGTACTCAATAAACATTTATTGAACAAATAAATTTGCCCCCAAATTCTCATCAGCTATTTTCAACTGTCCCTTCTACTAGATTATAAATTTTGATGGCATTTTCTTCATCCCAGTGTCCCCTACTCCTCACCCATCTTCAGAGTGGAGAATGATACTTTGGACATAGTAAAATATTCAATAAAATTGGGGGGACAGGATTTAACTCTTTCTATTTGGCTTTGGAAAATGTATTGGGGGTGGTCTGCTGTGTGGGGAATTCACTCAGTCTGTGTCCCACGACAAGGAAGGCAGTGAGCGGAAAACCAAGTAGGGTTGGAAAATAGGCGGCACTTCCTCTCCGTGGCCGTGGATTCAGGCTCTCCGTCCTGCTCCATGACGCCGAAGGACGGGCAGGCTCCACAGCCTGATGCAAAGGTACCATCCTTGGCTTTTTTTTTTTGCCTTGTCTCTGACTTATCTGCCTCAAGTTGTGGGACAGGGCTCAGTATGCGGCTTCACAAACTCTTGGCTGAGCAGCAGGCTAGGCGGGTGTTGGAAATGATAGGGGGAAAAAAGGATCTAATTAAGCAGAGTAGGTGACAGTGTCAGGAAGAAAAAGCAAGCAAGTGGCAATTTGGATATCTGCCTGCAAATAAAGGAGATGACTGTGTTTGCCCTATAAATCTCAGTTCACTAATCCAAGTGTTTTAATTATCACTATATAATACAACATGCTGTGTGGGGCCCGTCATGGGGAAATTAAAACGAAGGAAGTGGGTGGAGGGATTCAGGCTACCCCGTTCTCCCATTTCTCTTGTTTACACTAATCTGAAGGTGTTTTTCCCCCTTCTACCATAAACACAACATGGGGTTGTCCAGTACCAAACATATTACCTTCTTCCACGCACAAAAAGGAACTTCAGGTTCTGAGGTCTTTCCCAAACATCATGCAACTTGGGGGCCAGGAGTCACCCTGGCCACTGCTGGCACTTAATCCCCAAGAAATCAAACGAACAGGGTCGTGAAGTAAACACCAGCTCCAAAGTGAATCCCCAAGGGAAGCAGTGTGAGGGTGAAGCCCAGCGTTTGAATTGTACTTCTACCACCGACCAGCTGCACAGCCCGGGCCAAACCACTTAACCTCTTGGAGCCTCAGCTTCTTCAAATAAAATAGTGACAAGATTAAATAAATAACATAAAGCACTTAGCACAAATCCTGACACACCGTAAGTGCTGTGTGACACACTCCCATCTCCCGGCCTTTATCTTGGCCGTTCCGACTGCTTGGCAAAAGCAAACTTCCTTTCCTCCTCAAATGCCATCTTATGGGTGAGCCTTCCCGTCCCCCTCTAAATGACATACTAGCCCCTCCTCTTAATTTTTTTTCTTCTCCCCCCCCCCAGTTCTTAATTTTTGTCCACAGCACAAAGTACTACCTGACATTTTACATATATGTATTTGCATTGTTTTGTCTCCTTTTTGCTACCCTGCTAGAAGGCAGGGCTTTTGTTTTGTTGACTGCTGTTATTTCCAGCACCTGCAGCAGAACTGCCTGTCATACACTGAATAGTTAATATATACTAACTGAATGAATCAACAGAAGCTATCCCTTGGATGGCGGTGACTGGAAAGGGCCACGAGACACCGCATAAGCCAAAGTTCACGGGCTAGGAAACTGAGGCGGACAGACGTCAGATGACTTGCCCTCTGGTTCCTGCTTTGGAGGCCCTGACTCCTACTGTATTGCTTCTGGCCCGAGCCAGCCTGCTCAGACCAACAACTCAGCACGTTGGTACCCTGCTGCTCAGCTGGGGAAAGAAACAATTAAGCAGATGGCTCTCCCTCCCAAGGGCTCAGGACCGGGATGCCCCAGTGACTGACAATCTGTAAAAGCAAAAAAAGGACAGGTGGAGATACCACGGCCACTCTGGAAATCCATCAACAAATGTGCTCAGAGTTGAGGAACGGCAGACGCTGCAGCACAAAGGAGCCAGAGGCCACTGCATTTCTCTCTAGAAATCCACCAGTATCAAGGACCCTCTCAGCTTTCTGCACTGACACCAAAGGCAAGCACGGCTGTCCCGATTTTGGGGTGCCTGGACAAATTCCTCTTGCACAGACACAGGGGACCTTCTGGGGTTGTCCAGTATCAAACATACTACCTTCTTTGCATTACAGATGCAAACCCCAGCTTCTCCATTCCCAGGTGCACAATTCCTCTGGGTACCAACTCTCATCTCTTAGGATCCTTAAGATTAGATGAGAAAGCACATACACAGCACCTGGCACAGCGCACGGCGCATAGCAGGCACGCAGTAACATTACCTGTTCTGTATGACGTGACGCTATCCAGAGTCAAGCCCTCCCTCCGCACCTCCCCGATCCGCCTCACTACCTCTTGGAGCTTAGACTTAAGGGTCTTGCAAAGAAGGGGATAGTCAACCTTAGGAATCCAGCCCCAGATAACTTTTGTAAAGGAGCCCATTTTCCCAATCAAGGAGAGTGGAAAGAATTCAGATTCCACATCAGGTCCCCCGCTTCCTCCAATCCACTAAAGACCTCTTATGGCCCCAAAGGGAAGATTCCAGCCCCAGAGCGTCAGCCATTCAGCTTTTCTTTTCCCAGAAAGTAGGATCTGGCTCAGAGCTTCCTGGAGGTTGAAGTGACAAAAGACCCAACGTGAATACCCTGTACACCCTTCACTCCCCATCCCCTTAACCACATAATCAGACTTGAAGCCCTAAAGAGTTATCAGAACGTGGCGAGTAAATGAGTCCTGTTGCTTTCCACTTACACGGGGTGAGCTGACTCAGTTCCTTAACCTCTCTGAACCTCACTCACTCAGTTTCCTCATCTGTGTAAAGGGAACATCGATACCCACCTCACGGGGCTACTGTAAGAACTCAATGAGAATGCACAGGGCCCGGGACATTAGCTGCTGTTTTGAATATTCAAGCCAAGAAGCCCAGCGCAGCCAACGCCAAAATCAGAAGCATTTTTGCCCCAAAAGAACACTCCGTACAGCAAAGGGCAGCTCTTCTGTGGAACACAGACCAGACTCTACCACCCTGCCATGGGCCGCAGGTTGGGAGCAAACATTAACTCTGCCAGAGGTTTCCACAAATCATATAATGCAATGTGGGGAGAGGTCCGCAAAGTAAGGGTGCAGAACGTACTACAGGTGGAACTGAGACCCAAGCAACGCCTGAAAGAGGGCCGCCTGCTGTGGGGGTGCTTCCATGAAATCACCTGGTCTGTAGTAACCGCTGCTTTGGACTTCCCAGTGTAAACTGCCATCTTTGGTGACCTCGGATTTCTAGATGTTCCCGCTGCAGCGTGGCCCACTGGTGACAAACCGGAGCTCTGGGGGGCACCAGACCTACACTGTGTTCCAGGAGACGCAGGGGGTTCAGAAGCTGGTGATTTCCGGCTGCTCCTGTACCTTCCTTGGGTCTCAGTCCCCCTGCCACGCCACCCCGGCACCGGGGCTAACAATGCCTCTGCGGACTGTGGGGCTAAGCGGGGTGCGCGCGCTAAGGCGCTCCCAGGGGAGGCCGGGGACGGCGCCCAGGCCCCTGTCGCTCAAGGAGGAAAAGGCCGGCGAGACATGGGCACTGCGCGCGTCCGCACAAGCCAAGGCGCTTTCTCTGCAGCAGCTGCTGAAAAAATAATCAGAAGCAAGCAAGTGGAACGCGGGCGGGGGCGTGGGCTCCTCCTCTCGCAGGCGCCCCCGAGGCCGGTCGGGCCGGAGGCCGGGGAGGCCGGGAGGCCAGGGAGCGGGCGCCCCGCGGGAGCGCCGAGGCCCCGCTGCGCCCGGCCGGGCGGGGGCGGCGGAGGAGGAAGCGGGGGCGGCCGGAGCGCGGTGGGGATGTTTAAAGGAAATTTACAATCATTTCCTCTCTGTGGTTTGGTGACAAATCAACAACATCCTGTTCTTTTGTGAGGCTCCGGGCGCCTGCGAGGCGGGGGCAGCGCTCCGGCTCTTAAAGGGACACACACCGGCCCCCCGGCCCCCCCGAGGAGCCACCTCCGGGGGCGCGCGGCCGGAATGCGGGGGCTGCGGCCCGAGCCGTCCCCGGGCGTGACCCGGACCGCGCACCCGCCCCCGCGGCGTCCCCCGGGACGGGAGGCGACGGCGCCGGCGCACCCCTCTGATGGATGTCGCAGCCCGGGACCATCTCCCGCCGAGGGGGCAGGAGGGGGCGGAGGGGCGCCCGGCCGACGGTTCCCCTCCCTTCCCCAGCCCCCGAGCAGGGCCCGCCTGGCTTCGGACCTCCGGGTAGTTTTAATTCCACCTCCCCCAAAGCCCCTGCCTCGAATTTTCCAGCCCCAAAACTAGGGATTTATGGTTAAAATGTCGACGTACGCACACGAGGTTTATAAAACGCCAAAACAGAGAGAGGCTTCCCGAGCTGTAGGAATAATGAGAATCAGATGGCTAGAACTAGAAAAATACAAAATACTCAACTGCCCTCCTGGGATTTCGTTCATTCAGTTATTTAATGACTATTTTTTACTAAGCGCTGGTCACCATTCTAAGGCCCGGTACTGCAGAAACTGTACAGACGCGGTCCCTGCTCCCAGGGGGCTTTGATTCCCAGAATGAATGAGTGAATAGAATTATTTCATAGCTTCAAGTGCTGTAATCAAAGATGATCATATTCTAGAACAGTGGCGTGCTATAGGGAAACTTCTGAGGTCACCATCTGACGTGTGGCCTGAAGGGTAAAAGGTGCCAGTTCTGGGAAGAACTGGTTGAGGGGTTACCAGGAAAGAGACTGGAGGTGGGGTCAGCTCCTCTGCTCATCCCCAAGACCACCTAAAGGACACCCCAAGGGATAGATTTCCCTTATAAGGACAAGCCTTGGAAGTTGGCATCCAGGAAAAGGAGACCTGGATTTTTCTGGTCTGGTTACATAACCCAGACAAGCCCCTTACCCACTACAGGCCTCACAGTTTCTTAACACTTACCTAAATTCAGTAGTTCCCCAGGGAGTTTTTCCAAAACACAGACCCCAGATCCCACCTCAGACCTAAAGAATAAGAACCTCTGGTAATGGAGCCTGGGCACTGGCATGTTTTTAAGGCTCAGGGAGATGAGTTCAGATTGTAGCCAGGGTTAAGGATCACTGATCGCTAAACTCTGGCTTTAAAGTGCAGTGAGAACTATTTGGATTCAAGGTATAAGTATTCACATCATTGAGCGCTCAGCAACTCCAAATATGTAATACTCCAAATATGCTATGTATATATTTTATTTTTTAAGTTATAAAGAAAAACCCTACCAAATTAGACACGTACTATTATTATCCCCCATTTTACAGATGTGGAAACTGAGGTGCAAAGAGAATGCAAAATTTGGTCAGGAGCACACGGCTAATAAGTGGTCTTGCCTGAATCCCCTAAGCTGGTGTGCCTTTCCAGTGACAAGGTGTAAATTTCTCCTAATGGAGTTGTTACTCACACAGAGTAGCTACCAAGAGAACAACACCAGGGGCTTCAAGCCTGGGCGGTTTGTATATCTTGGACAGAGGCAGGGGACTGGCCCGGATGACCTCTGGTCATTCTGACAGCTCCACAGTGTGCATGCCCACAGCATAGGTCCCAAACGATAGAGTGTAACCCTAAGAAAACAGCCTTTTATGTTTCTCTTCATTGATCTTCTTGGTCGTTTTCAAGAATGATTCCCATAAAACATGTAGTTTACCCTTAGCCAGACAGAGGAACCATTTGGCGGGGCAAGGAGAGACAAGAACTTCCTGTGTACCCCAGGACGGCCAGGATAGCGTGCACTCACCCACCCCCACACTCCCCCATATGGGGCCCGCCACTGCCCTTTTCACCTTTTGACCACCTTCCCATTTGTGCAGTTCCCTGCGGCAGGGCCCAGAGGAGGCTCGGTGAGCGGGAGCTGAGACAGGCTCCCGGTGGCAGGCAAGGGTCTGTGGGAGCAGAGATCAGAAGGAAAGGTGGTCCATTCTTTCAGTGGAATACTGTACTGCTGTTAAAAAGAGAGCTGTCCGGATAGACTAGAAAGATGCCTACGATGCATAAGCTAAAGAAGAAGATCTTCTCACTGATATCAGTGTAATCTCCCCCCAACCCCCACTCCCCCCCCACACACGAGACCAGCAGAACCATCTGCAAGGACAGATTCCAAACTGTTACTAGTGATGACTGGGCAGATGTGCGGAGGGTGGGGGACACACAGTAGGGGGGAGTGTGGTATACTAATAGTGTACTTTTACTTGCTCTGTATTAATCACCATATTATTTAAATTGCTGACACAACAATCATGTATTTTTTTTTTAAAAATAGGCATTTCTATTTATAAATAATAAAAACAAATGTTAGAAGGGGGATCATGAAAACCCACCCTGAGCCCCGGGAATTCTGTCCAAGGTAGACCCCTGGCAATTGCCTCTTTGCAAATTTTTCCAGCTGGTGCTGATGGCCCCACTGCCCTCCCACGGTTGCTTTCTCCTCACTGACAATGGCCCAGTGGTGGCCTCTTACCTGGTCAGCCGCCTCCCCTCCAGCCAGCGAGTATCCCACGGAACCTGGAGGTTACAGAAAATGAATCTGAAAGGTGCCAGCTCCAACTGATTGAACAGATGACCAAGTTTTCTTGATAGGAAAAAGTTGTCAAAGGTTCTATTTGGAGATGGAAGTGGGGGACAGGCATGGCATTGGTGTTCAAAGGCTCTGACTTTCCTGTGTGTCTGTGTGTTGTTCTGGAATCTGAGAAGTGGCATCTGACAGACCAAGGCCGGAAGAGAACAACAGAGCTTTGTGGTGAGAACCTTATTCCAGGAATCTGAAAGGCTAGGAGCAGGGGTCTGCTTATAATTTAAGTGCAGAACTGTCCCCTCCAATGCGGACCTGGTAACGACAATTCATGGCCTGTGTGACTGGCCCAAGATGAACTGTCATGTTCTAGGAATAGTTTGTCCACTCTGTGCATCCTCGTAGTTATGTTTTCTTAGATCTCTGTAGTTTATAAACAGCATGATCTTGTGGTTTAGAGCCTGAGCTAAGGAGACAGAGAACCCAGGTGGGATTCTCACCTCCACACTCTTCCCAACCTGTGTCCTCTTTTCCGGAACAGGAAATTATAATAGTACTTATTGCATAGAGTCATTTGGTAAGAATTAAATAAGGGAATACAGGAAAAGCTCTGAGCCCTGTACCCGGCACACACAGTCAAGGGTAATTGTTGGTTTAGTGACTAACAATACCAAGATCCAAGGCAGTTATTAACTGTACCTTGCAAATGAGAACAAGGAAGGTGACTGAGCTTGGGGGCTCCCCAATGATCCCACATGTACTAGCTTATACATCCCAAAAGGTAAGTCCGAATCTTGGCCTGCAGAATTGGAGGTCTTCCAAGACGTGTGTCCACAAAAATCCTACATGGTTGAGCTATCACTGCATTAAAAAATTATCACCTTGTTCTAAAGTCTTTCACCAAGGCCATACTTACACACACTCTTGTGCTAGCTGCCGTTACAGACAGTCAAGACAAATGAAATTCCTTCCTTCCATTCATCTGGGCCTGCTTATCTTAATCTTTCCAAAGCCCTTAGAAATAGGAATCCTTCATTTCAATTTTTTTTTTTTAACTTCTGCTTCCTTCTTCCCCAGTCTAGTTAGGAGAAAATTTCTGGGGGTAGGAGGTTTACACGGATGGGCCATTAACAGCATAAGAAAGCAGGAGGAATTTTCCAGGTCACCAGCCAACGACTTTAGAATGGTATTTAAAATTCACTTGCTTACTGGGGGAGGGAAAAAGGTTGGTTAGAAGAGGGTGGGGAAGGATTTTACCCAGATGATGGGGGCACTGGGGAACGCCCTTTTTTATAGCTAGCAAAACCAGTAAACACCATAACATTCTGCTTGGTTTCTGAGCTGATCTTTTATCATCGTACTTGAAATGCAGATATGGGGGAGGAAACAAATGTCTGTGTGCTGAATCCATAAATAAAAGGTTCTCTCTGGCTTCGGATTTCAAGAACACCTGGATTGCTGCTCTTGCTCTGCTATTTATGTGCTAAAATATAACGTACCCATAAATTTCTTCTGAGCCCACTGAACAGTTTCTCTCTGCCTCTATGACTCTGTCTCTGTCTCTGTGTCTGTCTCTCTCACACACACCTTACTCAGCTGTGGCAAAGCTCAGCAGGAGAAGAGCTATGGTCATGCTGTGTTACCCCTAGCCCATGTCTGCACTCTTAAAATTTATTTCTTGGCAGTCTGAAAGACATGGGGGCAGATCTGTTCTAGTAGAAATGTATTTCTAGGGATCACCTTTGCTGCTGAAGGAAGAATGGCCAGCAGAGAGCTCTGCTGAAACTTGGTAGCTAGACCTTATCAGCACCCTACACACTACTCTGTCCCACAGTGCATTGCCCCAGGAACTTGGGGCATAGCATAGTGTAGCCCTGGGAGTTTCTAGAGCCCCTGCCAAATTGCACAAGGCTGCTTAAATTGTAGTTACACATATATTTAGATTCTTCTAGTACAATGGCTTCCAAACTCTTTAAAATGCAGCAGAATCCTTTTCAAAGTAACAGAAAATATAAAAAACAGATTAAAACTACAGTTTCTGGTTGAAGTCAATCACAATGTTGCCCAAAAGGGGCCCCTGGATTCAAAGTTGGAAAAAAATATCACTCCTTTAGAATACCATTCTAGTATTATGTTAAGTAATTTTGTCATTATCACGAAGTCCAAACTATAGAACTTCTTCCAATCCAGCCCCTGCCTACCTGAGCTCAATGCAGTTATTCCCATGTTGCCCGTTCTCTTGATTTACTTCTCAGTTTTGTTGGTGCAGGTTGTCCACCAGCCTTCCTGAGAAGAGAGAAATGGGAGGTACATTTTTTGATACCTTGCATATCAGAAGATATCTTTCCTTTTATTCTTTCTTTACATTTTGATTGGTAGCTTTGCTAGGTATAAAAGCCTAGTTTAAATCATTCCCCAACAAGCCTAGGTCTCTCCAGTGTCCAGGTCTTCTAACTAGAAGTTCCTTTTGCCTTTTGCCCTTGCAGAAGTCCCACCTTCTGCCCTTATGTAGCTAACACCTCATTATTCTTGCCAGGGAAACATCCCTGCCTAGCCACCGGCCCCCCCAAAGGTGGGCAGATAACCTACCTACTTGCTCCCACAACAGCTGGCGCTTTTCATCTCACTACAATTACTATACCATATTATTATTACCTATCTACTTCTCTGTCCTCTTTTAGTCTGTGAGTATAAGGGCTGAAAGTAGGGTCAGAGCACCACTCGATAAATATTTGTACAACAAAGGAATGAATGAATGGTTGTGATGGTATTTTTATTCCAAGGTACAATCTATGATAAAATGTTTGACAAGTGCCCTTACCAGTTGCCCTTACCATTTTTAGTGACAACAGGGACCAGGTCTACCCTGCTTGCTGCAATGTTCCCAACAACCAGAACATAATGACAGCGTAATAAAGAGATGCTGAATGAATGAACTAGCCCAGACGAAGGGAGCCCTATGCATTATACCACTAAAAAAAAACTGAGAGAGAAAAAGTCCCTACGCTGTCTTACAGTCTTGTGGGGGGGGGGGATGGATAAAAAGGAGATTTGTAATGAAACTCAATTCATCATCTTTTCCCAACCATGTCAAATAGCAAACAGAACCTTCTCCCAATTCCCTGTTCCAGATATAGGCATTCCCTTCTTTAGACACCTGAGTTTGAAGCCCTGGAATTATTTGACTCAAGCCCTTTCCTTCATGTCTGTTTCTTTTCAATCATCAAGTCCTGTTGCCCTCTCTTCTTTTATAGCAGTGCTCACACTGACCCTCCTTTTTCATTCCTCTTGCCAGGCCCCCATCACCCCACACCTTGGTTTTCACAGGCTCCCTCCTTCACTCCAAGTCACTTTTGACACCTGTCAGATTAATCTCTTGAAAGCATCACTTTTCACAGTGTCCAAAACACCTTCAGAGGTTCTTAATTTCCTTCCACATTAAGTCATACTTGTTTGCCGTTTTTCAACCTTCAGAATTACTTCTAATGCTCTCTTTTCCCTCCCTACACACACCAGTTTGCTTACTGCACATACTCGACTCACTCTGATTAGGCAAGATGCTTCACTGTCTCAGAAACCAGAGAGACTTCTGCACTACTTGTGCAATACCTTCTCTGCCATATTCTCCCCACCCCTCTCTTAATTCAATCCACCCTTCCAGACCTGGCTGAACTCCTTCCTCCTCCAAGATGCCTTCATTGGTAACTTCAGGCCTTGTTGATCTCCCAACTTTAAAATATGAATAGTACTTATCATCTTTGCAGCCCAATTAAATCTGGATGGGTGCCTTATATAAAACACTATACTATGTACATAGATTAGTGCAGTCTTCCCAACTAGCCTGGCTGCTCCCTGACGGCAAAGATGTAGGGATGTCCTATTCTTGCACACACTCATTCAATAGTTCTTTAGTAAACTGTCATTATATTCTAGTTGTTGGGGCACTGCAGTCATCAGGGCAGACCAGTTACTATTTGTGTATTTAGGCAGGTAATTTAGACCCCCCTAAGCTTCAGTATCCTCATCTGTGAAATGGGATAATAGCAGTTTTTGCATATCAGAAGATATCTTTCCTTTTATTCTTTCTTTACATTTTGATTGGTAGCTTTGCTAGGTATAAAAGCCTAGTTTAAATCATTCCCCAACAAGCCTAGGTCTCTCCAGTGTCCAGGTCTTCTAACTAGAAGTTCCTTTTGCCCCCACCTTCTGCCCTTATGTAGCTAACACCTCATTATTCTTGCCAGGGAAACATCCCTGCCTAGCCACCGGCCCCCCCAAAGGTGGGCAGATAACCTACCTACTTGCTCCCACAACAGCTGGCGCTTTTCATCTCACTACAATTACTATACCATATTATTATTACCTATCTACTTCTCTGTCCTCTTTTAGTCTGTGAGTATAAGGGCTGAAAGTAGGGTCAGAGCACCACTCGATAAATATTTGTACAACAAAGGAATGAATGAATGGTTGTGATGGTATTTTTATTCCAAGGTACAATCTATGATAAAATGTTTGACAAGTGCCCTTACCAGTTGCCCTTACCATTTTTAGTGACAACAGGGACCAGGTCTACCCTGCTTGCTGCAATGTTCCCAACAACCAGAACATAATGACAGCGTAATAAAGAGATGCTGAATGAATGAACTAGCCCAGACGAAGGGAGCCCTATGCATTATACCACTAAAAAAAAACTGAGAGAGAAAAAGTCCCTACGCTGTCTTACAGTCTTGTGGGGGGGGGGGATGGATAAAAAGGAGATTTGTAATGAAACTCAATTCATCATCTTTTCCCAACCATGTCAAATAGCAAACAGAACCTTCTCCCAATTCCCTGTTCCAGATATAGGCATTCCCTTCTTTAGACACCTGAGTTTGAAGCCCTGGAATTATTTGACTCAAGCCCTTTCCTTCATGTCTGTTTCTTTTCAATCATCAAGTCCTGTTGCCCTCTCTTCTTTTATAGCAGTGCTCACACTGACCCTCCTTTTTCATTCCTCTTGCCAGGCCCCCATCACCCCACACCTTGGTTTTCACAGGCTCCCTCCTTCACTCCAAGTCACTTTTGACACCTGTCAGATTAATCTCTTGAAAGCATCACTTTTCACAGTGTCCAAAACACCTTCAGAGGTTCTTAATTTCCTTCCACATTAAGTCATACTTGTTTGCCGTTTTTCAACCTTCAGAATTACTTCTAATGCTCTCTTTTCCCTCCCTACACACACCAGTTTGCTTACTGCACATACTCGACTCACTCTGATTAGGCAAGATGCTTCACTGTCTCAGAAACCAGAGAGACTTCTGCACTACTTGTGCAATACCTTCTCTGCCATATTCTCCCCACCCCTCTCTTAATTCAATCCACCCTTCCAGACCTGGCTGAACTCCTTCCTCCTCCAAGATGCCTTCATTGGTAACTTCAGGCCTTGTTGATCTCCCAACTTTAAAATATGAATAGTACTTATCATCTTTGCAGCCCAATTAAATCTGGATGGGTGCCTTATATAAAACACTATACTATGTACATAGATTAGTGCAGTCTTCCCAACTAGCCTGGCTGCTCCCTGACGGCAAAGATGTAGGGATGTCCTATTCTTGCACACACTCATTCAATAGTTCTTTAGTAAACTGTCATTATATTCTAGTTGTTGGGGCACTGCAGTCATCAGGGCAGACCAGTTACTATTTGTGTATTTAGGCAGGTAATTTAGACCCCCCTAAGCTTCAGTATCCTCATCTGTGAAATGGGATAATAGCAGTTCTACCTCATAGACTGGTTGTAAAGATTAAATGAGATAATGCTCAGTAAAGCAATTTGTACATTGCTTTGATATACACCAAGTAATATATGGTAGCTTTTGTTTTGAGACAATCCAATCCCTGTTCTTAGAGTTGAACTTTGGTCTTGATTTTGTTGCAGACCGTCTGTCACTGAGTCAGCCTTGCAAATAATGATTTCCTGCTAGTGCCTACCTCCATGTCCACCCTCGGCTCGTCAAAGCATATCTCTGCAAGCAGTGGCTAGGAGCAAGTTCCATCATGCAAGGTCATCGCAGGCCCACTTTGTCAGTTGGCTGCCCTCAGCACTGAACTGTTTTGGTGCCTTTCAATTATGAACCTTCTTAAGTCTCTCTCTCTTCTACTTTTTCCTTATCATTATCATGATATTATAAAAGCAATACATGCTCATTGTAAAATTTCTTTTAAAGTACGTTTGACTATAAAGTAAAGAGCAGAAGTGTCACTACCCACCAAAACCTCTATTCTTACTCTTCAGAAATAACCGGTTAGAAGTTTCCCGTATTTCCAGAAATCATCCAGGGCTATAGAAACACATGCATACACTGTACTGTGGTTTGCTTTATTCACTTAATAGTCTTAAACACCTTTCTATACCCACACCTGTACCACACATTGTTTAATGGCAATTTCGATTTCTTTTGTAGAAAGCAACTATCATTGATTTCATCAATCCCCTACTGATGGGCATAGAGGTTGCTACCACTAAAACACTGTGATGAACATGCTTGTGTGTGTGTGTATGCATATACATATATATGTGTACTATATTATATCTATATCTATATCTATATCTGTATCTATATCTATATGTATATCATGTGTGGACTCCTTGAGTCTTTGAGGCTTCTGATGGCTAGATTAGACTAAACTGGGCATGACTCATCAAATCTGGCCCTCCCTCCCAAGTTCTCTGCCCAAATAGTGTTCAGTCCCTTGACCCACTGACTCACACGTCAGCAGCATGACCACCTTCCTCTTCACCTCAAAATAGAAGAGGCCACTGGACTGTTTCCTCATGATCCTGCCCAATAGTAGCTCACGGAACCCACGTTTCTCCCTTTCTCTGGAACTGCAAGGCAAATCCCAGGAACTGGAGGATAGGATTCCAGAATACAGCTGTGTTCTCAGGTAGCCTTGAGGAAGCCCCAGAGAAGGAAGGAAACACGTTCTTGGCTCATGAGACACCATCCCAGCTGTTTTCAGTGGAGCCGGGAGGGATGTAAATGTGACAAGGACAGTAGCTGAGATAGGCTTCAGATGGCGGCTGGACGGAGGTGAACACAAGGGGTTTTCACCAGCAGTGACTTGGCATAATTATTCTAGGCCATATCCGTCCTTTTACGACATGTCTTTTCTCAAGCCAAGGGCAGGATGGAATGGTAGGAACTGAGACTGCTTATCCCCAGCTTGGCCTGACTCATGCAAGACCCCAAGCCAGCCACTTACTGTACCCTAAGAAAAGCCCCAGGGGTTAGGTGAAGCTAGGGC